GCTGGGGATGTTAAGGAGAGCTCCCACTAGTGCTGGGGATGTTAAGGAGAGCTCCCACTAGTGCTGGGGATGTTAAGGAGAGCTCCCACTAGTGCTGGGGATGTTAAGGAGAGCTCCCACTAGTGCTGGACGTCCTTTATGCAGTCTAGTAGGAAGTGTGTGTATGCTCCAATCTTAATGGGATACAAAAAAGTAGTTTTCTCTCCTCTACTTAATGGTGTAGTTAAGGGTTTAGTTTTTTAGGCTGTCCTAATGTACTATTCTTAGTGTAGGATGGGGATGCAAGATGAGCCCCTTCCATTCTGTGTGATGTGACTCCTGTTTCAGACCTGATCCGTTTGGGCCAAGGAACCAGGGTTAGCTGCTTTTAAGGAGATATGAATAGCAGCTGATGGGGTTTGGGCTGTGAGGTTTTGCTGGTGACAGGCCAGTCTGTGAAATTGAATTTCCCGCAGAAAATGGTTTGGCCACAAGGGGGCATAAGTGATCTCGCTCATGTCCCCCAATTTTCTCATTGTATCTCTGTTGTATCTCTGTCACCCCTCAGATCCCCCAAGCCCACTTCTAACAGCTATTAAATATTTGTAAATTGACCCCACCCCACCACACCTGTTTCTTTTTGTCCTCTGGGACAAAGACGTCCCTGGCAGTCCATGATAAGATGTCCATGTATCCTGGGCCAGTTTGTGTTCCTGTCGAGGAGCCACCTCTGATTGTGGCATCAGTTCGGCCTCTAATCAAATGATGCTCAAATTGCTGTCAGTAAACATGCCAATAATCTTTAGTAGTTTTTAATTAACTGTAGCTTCCAACAGCTTTTGATTGTTTTGCAAAGTTTTCAGAAACTTTGTAACATGACGGGAGCTACTATCCTCTTGTGCCAGGTTTAAAATCAAATCTCGAATCGGATTGGGAAATCTCTGTTGTGTCTCCTGTTGTTTTTAATATCATTCCATCTTTCAGCGTCTTCGTTTTTGCATTAATGTGTATGAATTATATATGCAATACATGAATCTCATGTTTTAAACACTGTTCAGAAAATATTTAAGATTTTTTTTTGTGCCAAGTACTAATAAGATTTCATAAATACAACAATGAATTGGAATATGTCCGATAACAACTGTATGGATCTAATTGGAAAGATGCATTTCCTCTGCTTTTCATTTAAATGAGTACTTCTGTGTCCCATTTTTCATTTTCCCTGTATGAGTCTGCAGATTGTGTGTTTGGATCGTGTGCAGAAAATGACCACTGTTTAACTAGTCTTGCAAGAGGCCGTGCTGTGTGATGGGATCAGATTAGTCACTATATTTTTGTCAAATTTCATCAGTACTATTTAATGTATAATAAAAAGAAAATCTGTTAACCTTTCTCTATCTTTGGCGTTGATTAATTTTTTTTGTGACAGGTGTGAGTTGCAGTGCATATTCCTATAGGGGGTGCTGTTACCTCAGTCTTCTGAGTGTTTCATACGAAGCTTACTTCTCTAGGGGACGCTGTTAAGAGATGTGGGCAATTTAGGTTTCTTTTTCTGGAGCAGCAGTGTTTAATTCGGTCTACGTTAACACTGAGGTTTCAGTAAAGTAAAAAAAAACAGCATTATCTGTGTAAAAATTCTGTGATACCTCGCATATGGCAGCTTGCGCAAGATCGTGTAACATGAGGTTTGGTATTTTTAAGGTTATTTCTGAATTGTCCAGCGGTGGTTCCTGTTTCCTGCAGTGCGGAATGTGAGCTTTCACCCTGAGATATGGTTTCAGGAATAAACTCCAGATTCTGTAGGAGGAGATGAGCCATTAACTGTTCCTGGGAATGATATCCGTGCAAAACCTGTATAAATGCGCCATCAATTCTAAACCTATGTTTTTAAAAAAGAATCCTGTCTCGTGAGAGGGGTGGCTTGCTGGCTTGGGGGCCACCGCTGATGACAGCTCCAGGGCTGGGGGCTCTCGTGTTCTCCATGTGCTGTGTTGGCTTCCCGCAGCTGGACTCCGCACTGTCCGCTGCCTGAGATAGGCGCCAGATGAATGGATATATACGAGATGCTGTGCGGTTCCCAGAATCAAACCCAGCCCTGTCTTTCTGTTAACTGCCTGATCTCAGACTTCAAAACTTTGTTTGATCATAGTGGCGCTGAATGTTTTTTTTTTTTTTTTTAAATTTCAAAATTAAGTTTAACTTCTATGATTTGACATACACTGTTAAGCTTCAGCTATTTAGAGTGGCTGAAAATGAGATGGAGAGTGTGATCTGTACAGTGTCCTCAGGATGCTGTACTCCATGCGAATTTCACCCCTTTTAAAATTAATTGGCGTGTTTGTCATAAATCCGTCATTCTTCGCGAGAAGCCTATTCGTAGCTTCCTGCTAAAAACTCAGAAGTGTCCCCATGTCTGTCCTGCCACTGACGCCATCTGGCAGAGCGACTGTAATTTCCAGCATGCATTTTAATCGTGGCCTTTAATTCAGCCCCTTCATTGTCCAAAGCCAGCGGTGTCGGCTACCGCCCGGCTGGCACCGTGGGGGAGTCACATGACATCCCCTCTCAGTCCCGGGGACCGGCCGGCTCTTTGGTCGTTGCCCTCTTTTTGGTGATACCTTATCCGCAATGTGTCACAGGTGTATATATTCACCCCGAGGTACCTGCGTTAATGACACTCAAGTATAACGTTACGTTACATTGTCATCTGCCAGACACTGAGAGCCTTTGGAAACGCCAGTACGGAGTCTGGGTGTACTTTCCGTCTCTCCGCGGCTCGGCCATGTGAGCTATCTGTGGGATTTAGCAACTGCGATACCTGCTGTGTCGAGAGAGGATACAACAGCACCCAGACCAGTCTATAATCTGTATTTTTAAAGGAAACTGTCAACAAACTCTTACTCTTATTAGCGATGGTTTTGTTAAGCGCTTGAATGAAAACTGTGAAATGCATCGTTTTTTTTACCCCTCTCCGATCGGGAATGTTTGTAAACTGGGGATGAATGAGTTTCGCGGCGTGAGTCTGCCGGCTTTGTGTGGGCTCTCCGCGTTCCGTCGCCGAGGCGGATGCTTTGAAGCAGAGCCTGTTGCCATGGCGACCCGCGTTCCCGCAGTAGCGCCCAGACCGAGCGGCGATCCTCCCGCATCTTACCTGGCTGCGAGTTACACAATCGTCGCTTCGCTGACGTCTCGGCGTCATTAGCCAGCTGTTCGGCAGCGGACCCGCGTGTGTGCTCCACGGGGGTGGTTTTAGAAACCTCTCCTTGATCACCCCCAGATCTTCAATATATTTATTTCTATCCTACCGCCTGTTAAGATGAACAGATAATCTCGAAGCTTCTAATTGACTGAGTCAGGTGTCATGGGGGTGAACTGACAGATTTCCAGAATGGTTCATACTTGAGAAGTTTTGGAAGCATTGGTCTGCAATAATGTGGGATTTCCAGTATTTTTCTATTGCCAGGTCCATCATGATTGTGCTAGCTAATAAAAATTGGGCAGATGGTACTGTGAAACTTGAGACCAATGATTGCTAGTTTAAGGAGGAGCTCTGTCTCAATATCCTCCGGCAAGATGCTTGGCATGAATTCTTCCTGTTATTAGAAAGATTGAAATTTTTATTAAAAATCGTACATTCTTTAGAAGCGCTGGGTGGAATGGTGGCTCTGAGGTTAGGGATCTGTGCCGGCAATTGGAAGGTTGTTGGCTCGAAGCCCCCTACTCCGTTCGGCCCTTCACCTCCAATTGCTTTGTCCTGGGAACATCCAGCCCTGTAAGGAGGTCCTCCAACTTATAGGGAAATCTGGAGGTTGGTGGCAGGATTGGCACTCCAGCCATCAGAAAATCTCACACTGGTCCATTCGGACGCTGAGGTATCACCTGCCACATGACTGCACTCAGGTTCTCATCCCTGAGGTGGTTTGTGTGGTGGGTGTGTCAATGTGCTGTAATCAGTGTGCACTGATTAACCCCTGCTGTGGTTCCCTCTTTCCAGCAGGGGGCAGTGCTCAGACTGTTCTGCACTGCTGGAGTGATTTGCCCAAGGCCCTTTAATATAATCCCAATGACTCAGCCCTGGAAAGCATCGCTTCACTTGTTCTCCATTACTATGGTAAAGCTATGATTAGTTGAGTTATTTATGACTTAGTCATAGTCTAAGAATTGGTTTAGTCATAAACCTAATGGCACAGTCCCTTCAAAACCCAAGAAGGAAGACAATTAGACTTGACTCAGCCCTTTTTGGACCTCACATCATAGCGGACGTTATTAATGGTCTTGCAGCCAACCTGATCTCAATGACTGGACTGAGATCCAGCAAGTTGGTGTCACACGTTAGTATGTAGCAGGTACACTCCAGGGTGTCTGTCTTAGAGTCGTCCTTCATTTATTGGTAGCATAGAGAAAAACAGCCTCCCCTCACAGAATATGATTCCATCTCTGGAGTTTCACCTCACCATGGAGGTTCTGAACACCACTGTAGTACAGGAGACTGCTGATGCTGTTTCTTATCTACTGTATTTTGCACTATACTTATTAAGACACTCTGAAGAATGAATATTTTGCCTGGTGAGATATCTTGCCAAAGAAGTGGGTGCCTCTGGACGATGAACAAGTTTGCGGCTCTGCTCTTTGTTCTAATGAGGCTGCAGGTGTACATTTGGGAAAACAACACAGAAAGAAACACACCTAGCCAAGAAGTGCCATTTCTTAAATAGCTGCCACTGGCCCTGTTGATTGGTATTAAACAAAGAATTGTAACTATGGTAACTGAAAACACTCGTGTTTGGACTGTCTGCGGAGCTTCAAGCAGACGTATTTGCTGAACCTTGACTTTGTATATGCAAACTGCTCTCAGATCCAAGACTAATGAAGGCTGAAGCTACAGTTTTCTTATCTTGGGTAGCAGCTACAGGGAACCCTAGTTTATATCGACTTTGGTCAAGTAAAACATCCCCTCATGCCAACCAATC